AGCCCTTAACTTTGTCCCTAATTTTCCACTGATCATCTTTATAGTTCTGGGATTTACATTTAAGTATTTAATCCATGTTGAGTTAGTTTTTGTATATGGTGTGAGATATGAGATTTTTTTATTTCATTCTTTTGCAAATCAGTTTCCAGTTTTGTCAGCATCATTTGTTGAAGAGACTATCATCCCCACTTAATGTATTTTGACTCTTTGTCAGAGATCAGTTGACTGTATATGAATGGATTTGCTTCTGGGTTCTCAATTCTATTCTATTGATCTATGTATCTTTCATTTTAAACCATTACCAGGCTGTTTTCATCACTGTGGCAGTATAGTAAAATTTGAAATCAGGGAGTGAGAGGTCTCTACCTTTGTTCTTCTTCTTAAGAAATCCTTTGCTTACCTGAAGTCTCTTTCCCTTCCATATAAAGTTTATGATAGTTTTTTCCATCTCTTTAAAGAATGTAGTTGGAATCTGGATTGGGATTGCATTATATGTGTCAATTGCTTTGGATAGTATTCACATTTTTACAAGTCTAAGTCTTCCTATCCAAGAGCATGGTATATTCTTCCATTTTTGTAAGTCTCTCTTTTTTTTGTAGTAGTAGTAGTTGTTTGTAGTTTTCTCTGTGTTGGTCTTTTGTTTCTCTGGTTAGATTTATTCATAAATATTTCATTGTTTGGGTGGCTATTGTAAATGGTATTGTTTTCCTGATTTCCTTTTCAGAGCTGTCTTTATTAGTATAGAAGAATCCAACTGGTTTTTATATGTTAATCTTGTACCCTCCCACTTTGTTGAATCTTCCATGAGTTCCAGTAATTTTTTTGCTGAGTCTTTGGGGTTTTTATGTATAGGATCATATCTTCTGCAAATAGAGAGCATTTTACTTCTTCTTTGCCAATATGTTATAGTATTGTTGTCATTAAGTGCCGTTGAGTTGGTTCTGACTCATAGCGGCCCTGTATAGGGTTCCCTAGGAGTAGCTGGTGAGCTTGAATTGCTGACCTTGCAGTTCAAATGACTTTGCAGTCTGTCACATTAGCCCACAGCCACATTAATTTCCCTCTTTTACCTTATAACTATGGCTAAGACTTCTAACATAATATTGAATA